ATGGCGCAGAGCTAAGGCCCGGGGCGGCCTGGCACCCTGGTGGGCGACCGCAAGTTGGTGCAAGTGCCCTGCCATCGGCCACCCGCCCAGATGTGAGCTTTCAAAGCAGACAAAGTGCTACCGAGGCCGACTGCGGCCGGCAGGCCCCTTGGGGGAACATCGGGACTCGGACCAGCTGACCCATTTCCACTTACGGCCCGGGGTGAGGGCTGTGGGCATCTCATGCCTCTCCGTGCAGCCGGGTACAAACCCCTGCCCACCAGCCCCGGCCCCAGTCACGCCCCGGGAGACCTATACGTGTGGGTCACCGGGCCCCCGGCTGACACTCGGCTTTCTTCCTGTTCGCCACTCGCCTCCCAACGGGGCATTTTGGTCATGCTGTAACACTCTGAGTCCTGCCCTGTGCCACCCGGGACGGCTGACCGTCCGTCCCCAGAGAGCAGGGCGCCACGAGGGGTCCTGGTGATGGCAGTGGGCTGGGGAGGGCCCGCAGGCGAGGGGACAGGTTTGGAGCAGGGCACGGGGTGAGCGTGTTTCAACTGTCCTGGGGCCATCTGGGAGTTCCCATCCGGGGCTTCCAAAAACACGGCAGAGAGAGGGCTTGAGTGCCGAAGACGGCCTGTGCTTTGTGACGCTGAGGGAGGACGGGGGTGTTGAGGGAGGCGCAGGGACTCGGGAGAGGACCCAGAACCGAGCCCCGAGGGAAGGTCCGCCTTCAAGGGCTGTGACCTGGGGAAGCCCGGGGAACATCGGGGTGCCGGGCAGGAGGGCGAGGAGGGAGAGGCTTCCAGAAGGAACGGTGCTCGGGCACATGTCCAGAGCGGAGGCTGGCAAGGCTGTGCGCAGCGATGCACAGGTCCCTGGTCACCCCGTGAGGTCTGGGGGTGGGGCGGGGGCAGCCCTGAGGGAAAAGGGGCGGTGGACGAGGCAAGGGGAGGGTGCCCAGGGTCTGCCTGGCCGCAAGCCACAGGACGGGTCAAGGTTCAAGACAGAGCAAGGCAAAGAGATGGGGCAGATGGGGTCAGAGGTCCCCAGGCATCTGCCCATTTGCTGAGGGACAGAAATAAAGGGGGAGCAGGAGGCTGGCGGCCGGGCCTGCCTTTCGGGGTGCGGGAAGGGGCGCCACTGTGGACGCGGCGACTACTGGAATCAGCTGCCCCCCCCTCCCGCTCACAGCCTCACGGAGCCCCCACTTCCCCTTGACTGAGACCGGAGAGTCAGCATCACAGTGTGGCTGGCTTCGCGGATCTCAGGGGCAGGGTCAGCACAAGTGGCTCCGGGCGTTGGAGGAGCAGAGCCTTCTGGGTGCGTCGCGCACTGTCACTTACGTGGCCCGAGGAGGTAGCCGGCGCTGTTCAGGGTCCAGCCTCTCTTTTCCTTCACCTTTGGCGGGGAGAAAAGGGGGTCAGATGGCCAGGCTGGGGCCGGTCCAGGCTGCAGGGGCTCACGGGAGCCCCCAGGGCAGCTTCCGGCAGGGTAACCCCCGGTGGCAAGCTGTCGGGGTGCCTCAGACCATCACGGAATTTACAAGCACACACACAACAGTGCCTTAAGGCGAGACGCACATTCAAAGCCGGTCACCAGGCTTTCCACGCATGACGTGGGAATCTGGAAAAGGCATACGCTTCCCGGGGCTGCAGGAAATCCCTGCTTTGCCCCCACATCTGCTACATTCGACCTGAAAACAGGACTGCCGGCTTCACCAAATAATTCACTCTAGAGCCACCGGCCCGGAACCCACGGTGCCCCCAAGTGGCTTCTAAGCCACACTGAGGACACGCCAGGTGGAGGGCACGTGTGGGTGGCCCGCTCCTGGACGGAATGAAATGAGATTTGCTGGCAGCCTCCAGCTTTCACCGGTTTCTAGCCCGGAGCCGGTCGTGCGCGGGCAGAGGCGCCCCCTCCAACCCTCCAGGAGGAGCGGGGAGCGCTCCCGCGGGACCCCGGCCCCGGGCTGCAGGACCCCCGCTGCCCCGGAGGGGGGGGGGATGGGGACGCGTCCCGCACTCACCGGTGACCCGAGCCCCGGGGTGGCCGAAAGGGCCGCGGCGAAGAGCAGCCAGGCGAGCAGGAGCGCGCAGCCGCCGGGCATCTGCAAGGAAGGCGCGGGGCGGGCGTGGGGCGAGCAGCGGGGCCCCGGGGCGCACGTCGGGCGGCCGGGGGTGGGGGGGTGGGGGGCTGGGGAGGGGCGAAGGGCCCCGGAGGGCCCAGTGCGGGAGGGGCGCGGACCGCAGACCGCAGGAAGGGGTCGCCTCCCGCCGCCCCACCCCCCGGGGCGCGCCGAACCTTGAGCGGGGGCGGGGTCCCGGGGCGGCGGCGGGTGCGGGCGTCCGGTCGGTCGGTCGGTCGGGTCTGGCACAGCCCGGGGCGCTCAGCGCATCGCGCGGCCTCGGGAACGCGGGAAAGAAGCGCGGCGGCTGGGCTCCCTCGACGTGGCCGCGGCCCCGGCTGCCGCCGCCGCCGCTATTTATGCCGCGCGCAGCGTCACGGGGCTCAGTTCCCGCCTTCCGCCCCTCCCCCCTGCAGTGCCCCCCCCCCCCCGGGGGGGGGCGGGAGGGGAGGTAGCTCAGCTCCTGCAGAGGAGGCTGCGAGTGGTTCGGTGGCGTGGCTGGAGGGGCAGGGAAGGCACAGTGCCCCCAAACCCCACGGGACAGCCTCTGTCACCCCACAGAGAGCCCCCATCACCCCTGCAGAGCCCCCATCACCCCTGTAGAGAGCCCCATCACCCCTGCAGAGAACCCCCATCACCCCTGCAGAGCCCCATCAGCCCTGCAGAGAATCCCCATCACCCTTGCAGAGAACCGCCATCACCCCTGCAGAGAACCCCCATCACCACTGCAGAGCCCCATCACCTCTGCAGAGAATCCCCATCACCCCTGCAGAGAGCCCCTCATCACTCCTGTAGAGAGCCCCATCACCCCTGCAGAGATGCCCCATGACCCCTGCAGAGAATCCCCATCACCCCTGCAGAGAGCCCCCATCAGCCCTGCAGAGCCCCATCACCCTGCAGAGAACCCCCATCACCCCACAAGTTTTCATCACCCCACTGGGGCGGTTGCACCATGGGAGAGCCTCTGTCACCCCTCTGAGAGCCCCCGTATACTGAACGGGGAGCCCGGAAATCCATAGGGGAGAGCTCGCAACATCCCATGGCCCGGGTCATTGCTGCGGTGGTGGGCCCCACCCCCCACTCCTCCCACCCCAGGTCCAAGCAGGGGAGTGAAGCCCCCACCCACAAGCAGCACTCCCGCGCTGCAGAAGGAGGGGGCGGGGGCCCCCCGTGTCACACACCCCTGGGCAAGCCCTCAGTCCGAGCTAGGCCCGGTTGGGTGGTCCTGGGGCAGGGGTGAGGTAGAGCAAGGAGCAGGATCCCCCTCCCCTGCAGACGTGCGTCCTGGCTGGAGTGTGGCTTCAGCCTCAGAAGCCATTCATGGAGGGAGGGCTGGCCTGCTTTTGGGCCTGGCTTCGTGGCCTCTGGTCCCCAGTGACCCCTGTCCTGTCTTGGTAAAAAGGGGCAAACCGGCCAGGGAAATTGGGCTGTCTCCTGGGGGGGGGGTGCGTGTTGGCCTCCAGCCTGATTGCCGTAGGTACCCGTACATCCCACAGACACCGCTGTCTCAGAAAGGGTCCCTGCTGTTGTCCCTCGTGGCTCCTGGGCCCAGGACACAGAACTCTTTTGAGCAGGGTCAGGTAGTGGTTGAGCCTTTGGGGGTCTGGGGAACCCAGAGCGAGACCAGCTGACCGGTGGGCAGGCGGGCAGAGCAGGAGGAAGAGGCTGTCCTGTGGCAGGTGCGAGGACATCACGCCGGAGCAAGGCTCTCCTTGGCGCACGCCAGGAATGCTTCCTTAGTTTGGGCCAGGCCCGGACTGTCTTTTCCCCCACCCACAGACATCAAGGGACGGACGAGAGTGACTCCTCCAGGCTTCCAAGGAAGGATGAGGCCATCAGGTGAAGGTTGGCCTGAGCTCCTCCCCCCTCCTGGCTGGCCACCGGCTGGCCACCGAAGTCCTCAGCAGTGGCCGACCCAGCAGCGCGGGCCTGTCGGTGCCTGGTGGCCCCAGTTACTTACCGGGGAGCTGCAAACCTCTCCCCACCCACCAAGCCGTGTATTAGGTTGGTTGACGTCACTGGGGACCCTGGAGCAAACAAGACACAGGACAGATAATCACGATGATGCCACCCGGCAGGCATCCTACATTTTAGAGTGCTGACCCTTCGTGCACACGGCGGGAGAGCCATTTGCCTCTGCCTGGACCCCTGCACGGGGAAAGACCCAGGGGCCCTGGGGGACTCGGGTCAAGGCCAGTCGGCTAGGCAGGAAGGAGCAGGGCCCTCGCCTGGGGTGCCGAGTGCCCACCCTGGCTTGCTGGAAGGCGAGGAGGGGTGCCGTTGGGGAGACCCGACTTGGTGAGGGGGTCTCCTGGACAGACTCCTGACTGAGAAATGCCATTATCTCGACAACCGCTGGAGGCATGCACGGTCACTCTGGAACGCTCACTTTGCTTCTGAGAACAAGGACATCCCAGCGCCCGGTGCATCTTGGCCATTTTCTTTCTGCCTCCTTCCGGTCTCCCTCGTGAGGCGCCCGCTGCCATTGGCGCGGGTCGAGTGACCTTCTGAACTCAGCTCACTTCGTCAAGGAGCTTTTTTGTCTGGAGAAGCAGAAATTAGAAACCAGGGTCCTTGGGACTAATTAAGAAAGACTCCAAGCCCATCCTGTACACGGGCTGGAAAATGAGAACTGTTCGGTTCAGCTTCTCACTGCTCTCATTTGGGTTGATGCACTCTTTTTATTTCCTTTTCAACTTCACTTTTATTTATGTACTTAAACAATTTTTTTTTTACATTTGTTTATTTTTGAAAGACAGAGAGAGACAGAGCACAAGCAGAGGAGGGGCAGAGAGAGAGGGAGACACAGAATCCGAAGCGGCTCCAGGCTCCGAGCTGACAGCACAGAGCCCGACGCGGGGCTCGAACCCACAAACCGTGAGATCCTGACCTGAGCCGAAGTCGGACGCTTCACCGACGGAGCCCCCCTGGGGGCGCCCCTCCTTTTTCTACTTTAAAAGAAACTTTACAGTAGTTTTTCTAGTAAGAGCGTCCTTATTAAAGAGACAGTTTGCCGTTAAGTCAGCCTCGTTCCTGCAAGTGTATAAGGTGAACGGGTATAGAGGTGCCCTCTCCGCGGCATGTGAGTCTCGTATGTCCACCCAGATCCTAAAGAAAACTTGGCCACAGGCAGGTTGGGGCCGAGCGCCCTGACCAGGGAGCCAGCACCCAACCCAGGTGGCAAGTGGGGAGAACGTGGCCCTGAGGGGGACAGTGTTCTCGGCCCTGGGAGCTGGCTTAGGTGGGGCTTAGGCGGGGCCATCAGGCTGTCTGTACGACAGCACCCAGACCTTCCTGGAGGCGGAGCCCTGGGGCTGAGGGGCGCAGGTGCAGCCAGGTGGTGGGGGACGCTGGGCACTAACCCCGGGGGAGGGTGTTGACCCCATAACTCATTGGGAACAAGAACGTCCACATATCTGTCCTGTGGCCACTTTTTCCAGGCATCTCACAGAAAAATCATAAGCAAACATAAGCAATCTTCACATGTACTGTGTGACTCCATGTAACGGACGGATAATTTAGACACAGGAACTCAAAACAAATGTGCCTCCTCGAATTCATGAGGACTTTCGCCAGGACACCACTTGGGGGTCGCCCCGCGTCCTCCCAGATCCTGGGCGAGGGGATTCTGCCTACGTCCTGGAAAGGGGCCGGTGACCCTAGCCGGGGAGACTTTGGGAGGCCCGGGGAAGGCTGCAGACAGAGCCGGGCGGTGGCGGGGCACGGTGACATCCCCGGGCCCGCGGACGCATTCAGACAAAGAGACGGCGCCCCTGGGATGACAGACACCTGCTTCCCCGCACAAGCTGTTCTGGGTCCCACAGCCAGCGTTATAATGGGCTCTGTGTGCTCAGCAATGACCCAATGGGAGTCATTGTCAACTTGTCATCTTGAAGACGGCCCAGTGTGTAGCAGACAAAATGGGTCACCATTAGAGTAATGGAAATCAAGCAGAAAGCATAATTTTACCGTGTGCTGGGAGCCGGCCTATCTTCCCTTAGAAGCCCCTTTCACTGCCACCCACAAAAACCAGCCCAGTCTGACAAGCAGAAAGAGCCAGGGTCCGGGGCAAACCTTGGCCGTGCGCCCCAAGGAGGGATGCCGCTGGTCCCGGCTCCCGGCCTGCCCTCATGGAGACCACGGTCCAGGGAGACCCGCACACAACACAATCCTACAGGTTATCGTGAGAAGGAGGGCCGTGGGTTCGGGGCGCCTGACCTGGCAGGTGAACAGGATGGGCCAGCTGGCTCCCAGCACACTCCAGGTGGAGGGCTGGAGCCGGAGCAGCCGTTCTGGGCCGCGAGGTGATGACCCTTCACGACGGCGACACTGGAGGAGCGTGGGTCCCCGGGGCCACCACCCTTCAGGCCTGTGTCACAACAGGGAGAAATGAGCTTCTCTCTCATTTAAGCCAGTGTCATTGGGGGAGGGGTTCTGTTGTATGTGGCTGCAATGACTGCCATCTAATTCAGCGTCTTACCCAAAGCAGTCAACAGATGTTTGATGAATGAATTAGTGAATACTGACAAGTCAAGGGCTGGGCCCCCTGGGAGGGAGCGAACGGTGGCCTGAAGGGCCCCGGAAAGGCCAGGCTTGGGAGAGAAGGTGACGCGACCCCACCACCATCTCTCTTCCCTTGAAAACACGAGGAAGTGACTTGACGATGTAACAGGGGCTTTTCTTTGACCCCGCCAACGTCTGTGTCCTTGACCCTCCTTCCCGGTCTCTAGATGCCCCCTACTCAAGCCCACCGGGGTCGGCGCGGTCGGCACGAAAAGTCCCGGGATGCTCCTTCACGATAGCAGCCTGGTAAGGATCTGGTGAGAGTGAATGGGTTTTTGACTGTACGTATTTGGTTCTTCAACAGACTTTGTTAAAAGGTCACGACGCGCGGAAAGATCGGCTTGCTTCGTCCGTAGACTCGATCAGGCGTTTTTGCGAAGGGTGCAGACGGGGCGGAGGGGAGAGGAGCCCCCCTCTCTGAACCTCCCGCTGGCCGCTCGCGCCGGGCTGTGACCGAGGGGGTGGCATGGGGTCTCCCCCCTGCCCTCCCTGACCCCTCCGCTGGCCGTGAGAGCTGTCACCTCCCCGGGGGGGACAGTGCGGAACCAAGCCTGGGGTCACTGGAAGAATGCAGACAGCACCTTTTAAAGCATCAGCTGACACCCTAAGCCCACCCCCCAGCATGTTCCCTCCTGCACCCCCCACCCCCAGCCCACTCCTCCGCTGCCCTGGGCTCCAGGCTCCTGCCTCTCAAGCGGGGGCGCCCGCCTGGTCCCTTCCACGTCCCCGGCTCCCCACGCACCACGGCGAGCCCACCCTGAGGAGCTCCTGGTATCTGGTTCCGGGGACCCATCTGTGCCCTGGGGTGACTCACCCCATTCGGTGTTTTCCTGGCCGCTGATCGCGGAGGAAGGGAGAGCTGTCTGCGCTTGGGGGGCTGGAAGCTGGTGACGCAGCTGCAGGCCCTGGACAGCTGCACCTGTTTCCTGGCCCGTAGGCCCATGGGCAGCACCCCCAGGGCCATGTGGGAGCCCGTCTGGCTAATGGGATGTGGGTGCTGAGGGACAGGGCGGGCAGCCGGGGGCCAAGCGGGAGGGGCCGTGTCAGACGTGAGGGGACACCTCCTCCTGGGAGCCTGAGCTACGCAGAAAAGCAGCCTCAGGGTGCTCCCACCTGCCCCTCAGGGACCCAGAATACTTTAAGGGGCCTCAGAACGATAAGCATTTTTAAAAACCTTTAGTTGAAGAATAATCCACATACAAAAAGGTGCACAAATGAGTGTTGACCTGGCTGTTTGCCCAGACACACAGCATTACCAGCCCTGGGTTGGGACGAGCCCAGTTTCCCAGGCCCCGCGCCCCTCCTGTCACTACCTGTCACCCCCCAACCCCCACCCCAGGGGAGCCTCTGCTAGACTTCCAGCAGCAGTGACTCATTTTGTTTAAAAATTTTTTTAATGTTTATTTATTTTTGAGAGAGAGAGAGAGAAGGAGAGAGCATGAATGGAGGAGGGGCAGAGAGAGAGGGAGACACAGAATCCGAAGCAGGCTCCAGGCTCTGAGCCGTCAGCACAGAGCCTGAGGTGGGGCTCGAACCCACAGACCGCGAGATCATGACCTGAGCCGAAGTCGGACGCCGAACCGACTGAGCCCCCCAGGCGCCCCTCGCTTTGCCTGTTTTAAACTAGCCCACTGGTCTCTTTCCTCCCCGCCCCACCCCCACTCTGTCAGAACCTGCCCCGTGTTGCTTTGCATCTCTGTAAACCCAGAACCGGTGATTTGCTGACCCCGTGGGCACCAGTGTAAGCCTGATGCGGCCCTGAGCTTGTCAGGGGGTGACAGTGTCCAGCTGGTGGGCAGCTCATGGGTGGACAGGAATTGAATCAGTCCCTTAAAAGGCACCGGGCACTGAGAGTCACTTTCGATTTACATCCCTGGGAGAGCAGGGAAGAGGACCCCCCCACCCCCCGCAGCTTCATCCACTCATTCAGGGGTTGGTGATCCCCTCCCCGAGGGACAGTCCCTGTGGGGGCGGGGGTCAGCTGCCCCTGCCTCGGGAAGGTTCACTGGCCAAAGTGGTTTGGGGGTGGGGTGCTAGAGAGATTTCCGGTCACCCGTCAGAATAGGGAAAGGAGCCGGTGGAGGCTTAAATCCCGTCTCAAGAGCATTCAGGAGCTGTGTGGCCTCAATCTGTCATCCACTCTCCCTGTGCCTCCGTTCCCTCCCCTGTAAACTTCCAGCTTCACAGGTGACTGTGAACTGTGAACAAGACGGTGGGGACGTGGGGGCGAGAGGTCAGCCAGCACAGGACTCTGGTACTGACCAATGATCTAGAAGGGTCCGGATCCGAGGCTGGGCAGTTCTGCAGCTCCCAGGAATGCGGGATGGGGACCAGGCTCTTTTGAACGAGAGTGCGTCTTCCATTGTAGGCTCAGTGTGGAGTTACTTTATTTTAAGTGCTTATTGTCAGAGATGTTGTATTTGCAACGGGCAGAAAAGCATAAAACGGAAAAGTCACCCATAATCATAGCAGTTTTTAAAGAAGTTTTTTAAAATAGGAGACGTCAGTCCTGCCATCCACCCTTCTAGAAGGAGCCTCTGCAGTTAGGCGTGTGTGTTCTTCCAGGTGGTTCTGTTTTCACTCTGGTTGTACGTGCGATTAGAAAAAAGACAGCAGGGCGCCTGGGTGGCTCAGTCGGTTAAGCGTCTGACTTCGGCTCAGGTCACGATCTCGCGGTCCGTGAGTTCCAGCCCCGCGTCGGGCTCTGGGCTGATGGCTCGGAGCCTGGAGCCTGTTTCCGATTCTGTGTCTCCCTCTCTCTCTGCCCCTCCCCCGTTCATGCTCTGTCTCTCTCTGTCTCAAAAAATAAATAAGCGTTAAAAAAAAAAATTGAAAAACAAAAAAAAGCATCCGACTTCGGCTCAGGTCATGATCTCACAGTTCGTGGGATCGAACCCCACGTCAGGCTCTGTGCCATCAGCATGGAGGCTGCTTGAGATTCTCTCTCTCCCTCCCTCTCTCTGCCCCTCCCCCACTTGCTCTCTCACTCTCTCTCTCAAAATAAATGAACTTTAAAAAATAGATAAAAATTAAAAAAAAGGAAGTGAACTGGAACTTGGCAATGTTTATTTTTCCGCAGCTTGCCGCTCTGGGTTTACACCGTCTCGCATGCCTTTCCGATTGAGGACCACCCCCTTCTTTCTGCGGTCAGGAGCTGCACCGCTGTGTGGGCGCACCCCCCACCCCAATGACCTTCCTGGGTCCTGGACGTTCACTGGGGTCCCAGCGTCCTGGGATGAAATGGACTTCCTCGTGCAGGCTCCTTCCAGAAGCAGGTGACGGAGACTGAGCCAGAGAGGCAGGGTACACAGGGCGTGTACCTTCCCACTTTTGTTGGGAACACCCCCTTCCCGTCTGGAGAGGCTGTGTCCTTGTATGGC